ATTACTGCAACTGTGATTTCATTACGAGTCTTACAGCAAAGCTAGTGAATGGGTGTGTTGGCGTTATTGCTATCTTGGACACTATGAACGTGCTGGAGCCGAATGTTCTACAAGCTGTTCGTAAAAGCATCTTCGTTTTTAAATCGAAAAATTGGGCTGAAGAAGTTTTGATAAGGTAAAAAATTTACTATGCTTCCTCAAGCTGAAACATTTTCTTACAGAGTCAAACTTATGCTACACTGGGCCATTAGTGCAGAGCGTGAAGGTAGTCATAGAGCCATTTTCGTAGCAAAGGTTCGATATTGGCTAGTAGAGTTTTCTTCTTTCGTAAGGCTTTATTTCCAGGTCTTACATCAACAAGTGTTGGAGCAGCACTCGTATATGTTCGGACATTTTCATATACAGGATATCATTCTGAATTATCTTAACACCGAAGCTCCTACACCAGAGTCAAACTTTTTCCATCAAGAGTTCGCATCTTTAGTCACCCTGTTCATCGAACTTATTCACTTCAAAGTATTTGATCATGATAGGTTCGTCTTTTTCGCAATAATTCTGTGGCCGCCGCCCATCTAACTTTGCCCGTTACAGGTTTGTGAAGGATCTAGTAAAGTCTGGAGAAGTTGACTGTAACCGTCCTCTGGTGACTAAATTTGAATGCGAACGCAAAAGTTCTGTCACCTCGACGTCACATGCTCAGGTAATATACGTTAACGGCATCAAGCCCAACCAAGACAGGCCTCACATCGCGCCGATACCCGAGTACTCGTCCGAACCCGTCGGTGCTTTTCTGAATCCGCCGGAAAACACCGGGACCTGCCAAATGAGGAAAGAAGATATGCCTGGAAGTTGGCATCTTGGTGCATGATTTCATAACGCGTGCGATATCTCACGCGAGCTACAAGATGTCAATATTCCCGACCCTCTCCTTTGCTTCCCTCATTTGTCAGGTTCGAAGTGTTCCGCTGATGTCGGGCTGGTTTGGCGGGTACCAGCCTGCTCTGAAATAACTTGCTTAGAGGCAGTGTCCCCCAAA